TTTTATCCTTTAGTATACCCAAGATATTGGTTTACCGTCCTCAAATGTGAAGGGGCTTAGTTGGAGGGATCAAACCTTGGTCGGAAGTGGTCACAGAGGCGCCTCATACCATTAAGCCGCTATTCCCCCCCCCCCCCCCCCCCGTCTGTCTATATAGACAAGTATTATGTTGCAGAAAACGCTGTTCGCTACAAACTTATTCTTCATCTTTGAGGAAGAAGTCGGATGTAGAAGGAATGTTTTATGAAAATCTATTTACTATAACTAATTGGAGGAATCTGACATATTGGCTGTGGGGAACTAGCAACGTTCGTGGCCTAATCCATGGGCAGAATTGACCATCATATATACCCTTTGATTCAAGTGGACTGTCGACAGGAAGGGGCCTTCGTGACCTAACTAAGGCTAGAAAATGGTCAGAGAGCACGTTCGCGAGGCATACGCAAATTGCGTAACGGCCCGAGCGATCGCCTTCCAGCCAATCTAGTCGAATCAGAGGGTACTTCTGTTGGCAACAATTACTACAGAAAATTTGTACTCTCTGATGCAAAGGTGCGGTAAATCAAAGGCAAAACACGCCCAAATTTGACTTAAAGGTGTCCCCGATATGCGCACATTTTTTGATCGTTAATGTCTCTCTTCAGTCAAAGTTTTTTTGTCGAAGTATAGGTACAATCCTTTGATACTGGCTTTAATCTAGGTATAATTATAGAGTGAATCATCTATCAGAGAACGTTACTGGAGATTCCGGCAAAAACGTTGAAGAGAGTTTTGAGACATTATGGACCGTACATATTTTGCTTCGGAAAAGCAATTGAATAACCGAAAACTCTTACTCTAGGTTAAACAGAGTGGCTGAGTTCATGTACTTTGCATTATACGTATTATAAAAAAGTATACATGCTATTTTGTTGGAATGCGACAAACCACCTGAAAAGCTTTAAAAACTCGTCAAAAGTTGTACAGTGTTATAATCATGCGTGAAAACCTGCCTCACAAAACCTTCCAAATTTTTTGGGGAATTTTTCATTTCATTTCAGCTCTTTCAGCTCATTTTTACATGGGGGAGATCCCAAGTCAGACATAACGAACCATTAAACCATACAACACAAAAAGATGCATGCACGAAAGTACAAAAAAAAACATAGAACCCTTGTGTTAGTAGCAACTTTCACTGACGGGCTGTAGATAATTTTTTAAATTGCGTTTAAACAAAGATAACTTGGCACAAAAAGATCGACTTCTTATGAGCCTACCCATATCATGAATAACGCGACGTGTAAACTGCGTGACCCTAAGTCTGGCCCTGGGATAGTTAGTTTTCTGGAACCACCTCTAATACTGGATTGTCTGCTAGGAAAGAACTCCTTGAACTCCAGTCCGCGAATTCCAAACAAGATTTTATGGGCCATTAGAAAGTCACCTCTACGCCTCCTATGGGCAAGAGATGACAAACCTAATTCCCTATTACGAGTCTTACTATCAGGTATGAAATCATACTCAAAGCCCATAATACGGATAAACAGTTTCCGCGTAAAACTGTTCTGAACCTTTTCCAAACATTTTATGGTTTTGACTAAATGCGGGTTGAATATCACTGTTTCATACTCCAACATAGGTATATAGGTCTTCTTTGCTTTAAAAAAGACCTTTACGTTCTTAGTTGAGAGAGCTCTAAACAGGTTGTAGACGGCCCGCATTGCTTTATCTGCAGTGATCCAGCAATGCTCATTAAATATGAGATTATATTCTATCAGGAATCCCAAGTCCTTGATCCACTCCACTTTCTGCAGTGCTGAATTATCCAGGAGTTAGGCGGAGTATGGAGTACAATGTAATGGTCCAATGTGAATGAGTTTGGTTTTCTCCCTGGGATTGGCAAACCCCAATCTTGTGACCATTTATAAACTTCATCTAGCGCTTGCTGCAAACGCATGCTATCATTATCCTCCATTACTGTCGTGTACAATTTGAAGTTGCCTGCAAAGGCACAGCAACTAACGCCGAAATCAACAGTAATTTGTGGAAGTTTGTAGGTGTAGATGGGAGATAGGACACTCCCTTGGAGTATCCCGCTATACATATGTCTAGGTTTTTTTTTAGAAAATTTGCTTAACACGTTGACGACGAGCCATTTTTTGGAGTTCTGTCCCTGTACACGAGACGTTTCCGTGCGTCCCTACGCCTGGCCGCATATACGTATGCATGCATCCATGCACGAAATATAAAATGTGCGAGCCCACCCCCTCCTCATGTGGCAAGTTCCGCCCACTCGTCCAAAAATGCAGAAATTGCCCAAATTTCAAAAATTCATGCAAAATTCGCCACTTTAAAAAAAGGGCGGAGTTTGCTTGACGATGGGCGGGGGACTAATAGTTACTTGAGGTTGCGTTCATCTACGGCCTCACCATGCTTTTTATGAACAAAAATGGTTGTGAGGGGCATAGGCGCGGGCGGAGTTTGGCAAAAGGGGCAGTGCTAATACATGAAGATCTGAGCTTGTTTTGTCTATATGAACAAAACTGCGAGAAGTGGACAGATAGTACTGAAATTAAGGCCACCCGCGCACCATTGCGCGGCGTGCTCTACAGGGACAGACTGCCTGCCGCGCATCATTGTGCGGCACTGTCATCAACGTGTTGAGGCTTGATGTGGGCAGGCAGGCAGTGTCCGGGCAAAAAAATTCTGAGTTTTGTGCTTATACAGGCCTACTCGTCATGCTGAATCCGAAAATTCACACTGGAAAGCACGAAAATGGCGAAAAAGGGCTTTAGCGCAAGAGGGAAACAGCAGGTGGGCGGGGTCCTCCTCACTGTGAATTCACGCTTCCATCTTCCGGAGTGGTCTACTCGATTTCACTAGCCGTCCTAGCATCGCTACCGGCCAAGTGAGAATGATTGACTTGAAACCGGAAGCGATAATACCGCTACCTGCCCCATGCCCATACCTAACGACTCATTTTTGAGCAGCGCTGCTCGTGCTGATCAGAGCTGATGAGCGCTGCACTAGATCTTGCAGCTGAGTTACGCTCACTTTTCTGGGCGTATCTCAGCTGCGTTGAGCTGCAAATAGCTGCTTTCCTCTGAATCTACCTCTTTTTGACCGTTTTCAAGCTGCAATTATCGCTCTAAAAAAGTCCGTCTTCCTTGCATGAACAAGTCATGAATGCAGCCGAAGACGATCAAATTAGGACTTTAGAGGGTATATGGGAAATCTTGAGATGAACTGGGAGCCATACTCCTTGAAGTTGAAGAAATGAATGAAATCAACTACAGATTGGCAATGATTTAAGAAACTGACGGTCAATGGTGATCAGATAAAAATTCGTTGGTTTAGTCCATACCCAAGCAGCGAGGTATGTATCAAGCCTAACGGCCTAATCAATTACGAGTGTGTTGGAAATTCTTAACGTAATCTTGCAGTAATCCTAAAATACGACCACAATTCTTACCTTAAACCTACAAGACAATCACGATTCGATTCCTGTGAACCTATGTTGAAGCCAGCTTTACAAAGTGCTATCTGATATTCGGCAAAAGATTTTGAGGAAGAGAGATAGTGACGTTCAAAAAGGGAGCACATATTCTTGGGACACTTTATAGGATAATTATCTTTCATTCAAGTCTTACTTTCGATTCGTTTAGCATTGGATACGATGCGAATGAAATTGACTCTGATTAGCAAATCTATGTAGGTTTCCCGCATGTTTCAAGAGCATCAAAAAAAGTTTATAGCCCTAAGTCTAAGCTCATAAAGTTTGATGATTTTGAAGTTGCCTTGACTTTATATTTCATTTTATAGTAAGGGAGTTTTTGAACAGGATCTGGGAACAACAGCATCAATACTTGTTTCTTCTGTGAAAGAATATGTCCATCAATGTGTTTTTGTAGGAGTAAAACACACCTTACGACTTCGAGCATTAATGGAGGGAACAATAGACTTGAGTTAGTGAACGAATTATTACACTTCGCAGACAAACAAACCGAAAGAAGGAAAGAAAAACCAAGTTGGCAGCATTATGAAAACTATGTGGTACAAAGATTTTGATCTTGTTATGGAAAGAGTGATTTTAAAAACCTAGAAAAGCTTGAAAGCAACTCCAGCTTTTTTTCCTTTTGCAAACGAAATGCGCTCATTCTGATCAGATAATAACAAGATTTTTTTATTTCAGTTCCACTACCTCCAACAGCAGAAAAAGTTTACATAATAAAAGAACGGACTTTGGATAATGAATGGTCAGAAAAATAAGCCAAAGGGCAAGGAACACAACCTGCAGTCTCGCTTGACTTTCAATGAAATTTGACTAAATTAAAAAGCCACATAATAAAATCGAAAATGGTTTTATGCTAGATTCTGATAACGAGTAGGATAGATTGATGATAGTGCTTTTGCTACATTTTGCCCGTGGATCATCTTACTTATCCGTAATTTAACAATGTTAGTGTGAAAAGCATGGAAAAAATTCATAGCTCAATCATGAAATCATCCATTTGCTACGTGATAAGACAGTAATCATTGAAAAATTTCATCAAAGAACAAGTTCAAACTGTTTAGACAATGTCTGCAATGCAGTCAGTTTCCTAGTCATAGCATAGAAGATGGGGGTAAGGGACAAGTCCAGTCCTAAACAAAACAGATTCAGCAAACAAGCGAGAAAATCTTCATAAAAATACTTACAAAGCAGGACAAAGTCTTGTATTGACTCAACTGTCGTAGAATATCTTCCGATTCTGTAATATAATCTTGATTTTTGCAAAAAAAAATTTTTATGGGAGACAGTGTTTAAGAGGTGTGAGGCAAAACTTTTATCACCTGTAACGCCCTCAGGCACCCATGTCGATTGCAACACACGGCGACTGACATTCTAAAACACTTCATTATCTTTTTAGAACACAGTAAAAAGCTCGGAATTCTTTGAGAACTAGTTGTCTACCCGACAAGACATTATAAAAGCAGCGAAGCTTACCATAGCGCACCAACAATTCGGACCCCATTAAACAATGGGTTTTGAAAAAGGCCTCGTTGCTTCTTCTTCCGTCGCTGCTGTTTTAACTATGATAGCTTGTGTAATTTTTTTCCCAGCATTGCTCAGGGAGATCCATGAAGTGCACGATATGGTAAGGGTCATACCGCATTTTATTTGTGCTGTGCTACATTAACGGCTTATATCTAGGTTCTTGACGGTGTAGCCGTGTTTCGTACGGAGACTGACTCAGCTTGGATAGAGCTCATGGATGTGCAGCTAATGATTTCGCCAGAGTCTAAACGCTACGAAAACCCATTCTCGGTATTTCGACGAAAACGGCAACAACCTCTTCCTCCATGGTGTGTTTGTGAACTAAAGCCTGTCACTTGCCCGCCAGGACCGCCTGGACCACGAGGACCACCAGGAGCACCAGGTCAGTAATCATCATTCAATTGTCATGATATATCATTCATTTCTAGGAATACCCGGAATGCCCGGTCCAAAGGGAAGAGACGATACGACAGTGTACGCACCAATTCAATGCCCTCCTCCAGATCCCTCTTGTATCAAATGCCCTCCAGGACCACCAGGACCCCCAGGGCCACCTGGAGCCTGCGGGTTAAAGGGACCGATGGGCCGACCTGGCGAGCCCGGGCAAAAGGGCAACAATGGTCCTCGTGGCCCTCCAGGTCCTATTGGCGATGCTGGACCTTGTGGCCCGCGTGGGCCCAAAGGATTGCCCGGCCTAAAAGGCAAAGACGGAATGAGAGGCAAAGGATTACCTGGACCAGCTGGACAAAGAGGACCAATGGGAATGCCGGGAAAAGCTGGTACTGACGGTAAGCCAGGTATGCCTGGAGAACGAGGTCCCTCTGGCCCAGCCGGTCAGGATGGTTCACCTGGACTGAAAGGAGCTGACGGCCTTCCGGGTGCACCAGGAAGGATGGGTCCTCCAGGTAAGGATGCCCATTACTGTCCTTGTCCTGATCGAGGCTCAGCTGTCCCTCAACCGGCACCATCATATTTCTCTGGCAGTGCTCCAACGGTTCCTCAGCCCGTTGCCCAGCAATCACCGTTTTATCCTGGTCGTTCCCCCGTGGTTGCTCCCCAGCCAGCAATCGCTCCTCAGCCATCATCGCCTTATCCGGACCGTGCTCAGCCTGTCACTCCTCAGCCGTCATCGCCTTATCCTGACCGTGCTCAGCCTGTCGCTCCTCAGCCATCATCGCCTTATCCTGACCGTGCTCAGCCTGTCGCTCCTCAGCCATCATCGCCTTATCCTGACCGTGCTCAGCCTGTCGCTCCTCAGCCATCATTGCCTTATCCTGACCGTGCTCAGCCTGTCGCTCCTCAGCCAGGTCCATACTATTCTGGTCGTGGTCCTTCCGCTCCTCAGCCAGCACTGTACTATCCTGGTCGTGCTCCTGTCGCTCCTCAGGCAGCGCCCTATTATCCAAGTCGCACTCCGGCAGGTCCACCGGCAGCGTTTCCGATGAATGGAGGAGCCATGGGGTATGGAAGAAAAGCAAGGAGAATCAAGAAGAAGCTGAAGAAGAATTGAATATGTACTGTAATCGTTTTGATCTTGCAAATAATAAAGATTTTGATGTGCATGGTACTCCAATATTTTTGGTAAAACTCAAACTCACCAGTTTCCCACCTCTTTTATTATAGTTCACTTTTTAGAGACTTTTACAAAGCAAGTTTTTCTCAGCAATGGTGAATGTTGAGTTTTGGAGGAAATTCTCATTCAAATCTCAAATTATTCAAGTGATGAGCTTGTCGAGAACCCGCTGTTACGCTCAAGTTTAGCAATTCACAAAATGCAAGCTTTGAAACTTGTTTTTGGCAACTCTTTTCGCAGCGAGCATCGTCTATTCTAACAGCGCCATGCTTGAACTCAAAAGATAAGCAAAACACCTAAAAACACTTGCGATAATCAAGAGTTTGGTCCACTCTACGCAAAAAGAAAGACTTCATACTCATTGAATCATGGCATTTCTATGTGAAAAATGGCCGGTCTTCCAGACACGCAAAAAATATTCTTGCAGATGGCCCCGTAATCCTACTTGCTCTTATGCAAGTCCGAATAGCTTTCTATACGAGTACTATATAAGCTTTCTCGCCTTTACGACTGGAATTACTGCACGAACTGTCCCGAAAATCGACTATATACGTTGAATAATCATTCAAACCTGGGCATCTTATATTCTTTAACACATTCACGACAATACGACCCACCGGTGGGTCGTAAGATTTCTGAAGTTCTAGTTCTACCAATATACGATGGAATTCTACGTGGTTCTGGCACATGGATGGGGACACCTTGACGAAGCTCCAGCCAGAGTGGTCCAAGTTCGGGATACTGTAAACTAATGTTATGGCAGGTAAACCGTAGATAGAGATAAGGCACAGACTTTGGCTCAAAATTTTCGCAGAGTGGTGCTGTTATTGAAGATTCGAGTTTACATGTACGAGAATACAGGGAGGGCACGAGACTGATGTCAACCCATCAAAAATTATCGATTTTATTGATTTTATTGATTTTTCGTCATCCAGGAAGCCCAAGCCTTACATTGGGTTTTTAAGCATGCTGACTACGAAAATGATAGTATCAAGTTCTAATACCGCCTGCTTACATCAGTTTCTTGATTCTTACGAAAATTCTACAGTGCTGTTATCGTAGTCCCATCGTGAGAAAGTAGTGAACAAAGTGGACTATAATCGTGATCACAGATTTAGCATGTGAAATAACCCCAAAACACTATTTTCATGACAATCCATGGTGTTGGACTCATACAGAATGATTACCGTAACCCTACCGTATACCGCCAAAACTGAAATAAATCATGTTTTCGTAATTAGCGCCTTCGATAACCCTTGTAGGGAAATACTCGGAGACATGCTTTGAATTTCTTCCAAAACGACTGCCATTTTGGACAGTACGACCCACGGGTAGGTCGAAACGAAAAAGGCTCTGGTCCGAAACGGCAGTAATCGAAAAATCGGCCTTGTCGTGAATGTGTTGATGTATCGTGTCCTGCAGGTTTTTGGACGGTGTACGATTCATCTCTAGATCGCTCCTTCATCTTTCAGAGGGTCACCTCAGTCTGTGGTATTTTGCACCGAAAATGATGTTCATGGAGGAAGGCGAATAAAGAAGAACATCTAGACTACGTGACAATATACTTCAACCCAATTTTTTGCCTTTTGCGTATGCTTGTGGCCAGAACTGAAGTGCTAGCAAACGAATTCAGCATGTTTTGCAGGTAACATTGTTTGTGCAAAAAAGTTACATCTTTCAAAAGGATCATTTTGCTTATAGCAGTAAGAATTAAGCTGAGGGAACTTTTTAGAACTTGTTAATGTATATTTTAGAACAATGCAATCACAATCATCGAAATAGCCAATGTTTGATTCTTCCTGTTGATCTGTGATTGTTGCAGTGATTTGTTGTGAGCATAAGAGAGTTTCAACAGTTTTTATTGACAACATACATTTCCGCTTATGCATTCGTCGGAAAATGAAAGACGAAGTTTCAAGGAACTCATTTTGTCAAAGCTCAAGAAAATACATAGTGGAGATAAAGCCAACGCAAAGCGCGTCAGAATCACAAGGACAGTACTGTCGTTACAATTATATAACATATAGCGGAAGCAAAAGATATCCTGTTTACAAGAATTGCCTCTTCTATTATAAGTGTGATGACCCCTAACTTCAAATCACACGGGCTTATACGGCGCCGGTTCCCGCGTAATGGCAATACTTTACTTCTTCTTACGCATTTTCGGATGTTGACTTTTTTGAAGATTGAAAGGAGTATTACTTATCACTTTGGCAATCCAAGCTCTGACGGAGGCGAAAGTGCCGAAACCTAAGACGTCAATAAAGCTGTTAATAATCTTACATAATGCACAACAGCACATGCAGGAGTCACTGTTTGTCTGTTAATGTAAATATTATCATGACTAATAATAACGGGCTAAGGGTGTTTACGTGACTTTGTGTGTGTGTGTCTGTTACGAAATTCGTGGAGCGTGTTCCAGCAAACGTCCTGGGCCCCAATTTTGCACAGCACATGCTACCAGCACAAAAATCCACCATGCAAAAGCATGAGCGGATTCGCTGAAAGGTACTCACAGAAATTGCGCGTCAACCGGGACCACTTCGCTTCTGACCTACAAAATTGGGTCCCTATCAGCACTTGCGAAGTCGTTGAGGTGTTTGACAAGTAAATGTGCAAGCCTTGGACTCCAGCCCAAATAATGGGCAAAAATCTACTACTTTGCGAAAATGACGCCAAAATGGATTGGTTGCGTAAATGGTCAATTTGAAAGCGTTCTACTGGCGCATTTGAAAAGATTTTTACGCCGAAGTGTTGCTCGCGATGCTATTGGCCTTAAGACAACTACCAAACCATAAAAAATCCTGGAACCCACTCAAATTTGCGTTTATCTTCCTGCGAAAAGTTCCATCCTCGCGAAATCACCGATCTCACGTGAAAAGACTTTCTAAATGAGTGGTTGCTTACATCCTATTCGTGGTAGTCGCCCACTGCGCGGTGAGTTTCAATGCCATCATTATGGGAAAGTAATGAGGCATATGGATAGTAGAGCCAGTGCGAACCTTTGCGAAGCAAGGGTGACGAACTGGTCTTATATATAAAGCTGAATGTATGTCTGTATGTATGCATGTCTGTATGTACGTATGTGCGGAATAGAAATTCTTAATTCTGAACCGATTTGGACCAAACTTGGCACACATATACTTCGGGGCGCGTGTCATAGGCTACTTTTCGTTATCGATCGATAGCGATTCTATTGATTTTTATCGATTTCTTTTGCAGAGTTCACCTACGGGGCTGAGCTGGCACAAGGGGGTAAATGCGCATGGCGATTACGAACACAACATTAGTTTACAGAATTATCGATTTTTGCAAAGTTTGAGCTACAGGCTGGGAATTGGCACAGGGGGGTAAGTGGACATGCCGATTTCGAAAACAACACAGGGAACGGGAAATGAAGTATAGAAGTGGGCACAGGGAAAGGCTGTACAGGGATAGATGAAATTTTTATCACATGTTTTGACAGGGCCGAGCGAAGCCGGGTAAGCAAGCTAGTTTGCATTATAATTATAAAATAATCCAAAGCTTTGATCCCTAAAAAGTTGAATTCTCCCCAGATTTTTGGACCATTTTATATGTTGAGCAGCATACATAACTTTCAGGTCTTTCAGAGATTTTGCATTTTGTCTGAGTTGTTTCTATCATAATCTATCTTTTGTTCTGCAAGCTTCAGACAAAACTCTGTTTCGCCTTAGCTACAGGTTACGCCCGAGAACTGCTTACATACAAAGTTATAAAACAAATTTATTCACCTCATTATGCATGGTCATAAGTATCACTCTCTTGTGAATAGTGCAGCACGCAAAGTTTTAAAACTTCTATATATTGACCGAAAACGACCACTTTAACTTTCTCAGATGAAGCGAGGGTAACTGTCAACAGAATTTGGTTTTTAGAATAATTTAGTTACGTTATGGAAGATTGTAATCCTTCTTTGTGTAAAGCAAGCGTCCTTCACACTTCTGCGCAGCGTACTTTCAATACAACAACCTCGTCTAAAGAGGAATTTTAAATGGACAAACTTGACCCAGAGCATAGTTGAAACATCAGCGTCTTGATTACGTTTGTGGGATCTTGGCTTGTTGAATATTCACTAGGTAGTATCAAGGTTGAAAACTTGTATCCTTTGTAACTTATAAGCGTTTTCATAATTATTACTCTGGTAAGAGAATGATCAGAAATCGAAGCGGCTCATCCAAACAAGCTGCATAACGTTAGATGCAGCATAAAAGGCTACTTCGAATTTGTCTTCCAAATCTGTTTAGCGCCTGTGTGGGCAAAGTTATGAGCCCTTAAATGCCTTATCTTGCTGGGATATTGTGCATGCAAAGTGCAAATTTGGCAGTACAGAGCCATGTTCAGCTTAAAGATGGGCCAAAACATGCACGTAGGTTAATTTATTTTCTTGAAGTCTAGAGGCGAGTTGAAAGTGCGACATTGTTTTCAATTTCGCAATTTCTATGCACGATTTTTTCTCAGTAAAGTTGCTGGTAAACTTCGTCCACAAAGGCGCTAAGCAGATATGGAGTACAAGGGTTGAAGGCTGCCGAATAGCAGGCAGCTTGTTTGGGTTGATCACTTCAACTTCTGACTATTCCCTTGTGAGTTGAAGACGCGTCAGCATCAAAAAAGGGTTCCCATTTTCGTGAACCTGCGACGAGTTGAAGGTAGAGCATTTTGTCCTCGTGTATGTCAGACATGTTGACACTAGAGCAGCAAACATCTGCTTTAGCAGAGCGTTGGCGGCTACAAGTACATTTAATTGTAGACCGGCGAGCTAATGTTCAAATAAGACGAAACGTCATAATCGCACACATTTAGTAGTCAAACGTGGCATCGGTGCAAAGCATTGTTTATTATTCGGCTGTCTTTTGTGTACAATCGTCTGCTGAGGAGCATAGCATACTTGCCTGTGTAATAAATCTCAGAAGCGAGTAAAACTTGTTGATCAAGCTGCAAAAGCTATAATTTCCGGCGAACATGGCGCTTGGAGTTTGCTAAGAGGTTCAAGAATTCTAGAACTTGTTTACTTCTGTTGTTTCAAGCATCGGTAATGAATCCGGTAAGATTATTCATAAGCTGAGTTGATGTGCTCGTTGAGCAGCCCAGGCTCGACAAAATGGCAAGTTCACAATGCGCTTCACATGCTAAAAAAAATAAGCTCCTATTGTTAGTGGCATCAGGATATGAAATAATTGCCTTCAGGGTTTCTTGATTTCAAGACTGAACATGATAACAGGGGCCATAACAGCTGCCATACTTTGCAGAATGGAACTCTGCTCTTGAAATGTAAATACCCCGCTCTTGAAAGTGTATAAAATCTCGGGAAACCGCCGTGTGCGACATACTTCCCCGTACCTACTAATCTCGCAAGATTTCAATAGCCCATTTTTGCAATGAGATCTTTTTTCATTTGTTTACTCTTTGTCAACCTTAATGCTGCATTGCTCGATTGGAAGTCGAAAAACAGGTTGCAAAAATCACTCTCACGTCTGAAATCGGTAAGTTGTGGTGCTAATAGATAGGCACAGTAATGCTTCCCATCAGAAGAATGAGGAATATTCCTAGAAACTCAATGTTGATCGACTCTTGCGACTGCGAGAAAGGCTCGATAAGCACGTGAAAGCCCCTGAACTCAATGTTCTGCAGAGAGCACTTTTGGCAGAAAGGTTGCAGGTGAGTTGCTAACACATATTCACAAACTGTACGTAGTACGCTCAGACAATGGAGCCCATGAACGGTACTAATATTCATCAGACAATCGAAAAAATCAATGAAAGACTAGGATTGTCGGACCTTCTCTTCCAAGGAGATATAGTGCTAACAACGTAATTCGTAATGTTTTGTGTTTGTATAGCGAGCCCATCAACTTATAACACTGCAGACAGCTCGTGGATGAACTGATTGACGAAGGTCAAGGACGGCGAAAACGTCAAGCTACCCTAAAAGCAAATTCAAAATGGCCTCATAACCGTCTTCAGTTCTCTTTTCGAACTAGTCAAAGTAAGTGACAAACCATGCGTGCACAAGCAGAAGGAATCCAGTATTAATCAGGAAAGTTTTTAGGCAGTAATGCTATGAAAGCTATGGCTAGAAGAGCTGCGCAAATATGGTATGCTAATACATGCGTTGACATGATTGAGGATGCTACCGGTAAGTAGCAACACGAATGGCAATGCCATCCAAGATAATTTTTCAGCGCCTGAAAGAGTCGAAATATTTGAAGGGAAGGGGTGTTATTCCTATGTTGGAAATATTCACAAAGTACAAGAGCTCTCTCTGGGCACAGATTGTCATCAGGTTATCTTATATATAAAGCTGAATGTCTGTTTGTCTGTCTGTCTGTTTGTCTGTATGTATGTCTGCACGTATGTTCCGAATAGAAAATTCCATTTCTGAACCGATCCGGACCAAAGTTGGCACACATACACTTCGGGCCCCGGCGGGTGTCATAGGCTACTTTTCGTCATCGATCGATATCGATTTTATCGATTTTTTGCAAAATTTAAGCTAGGGGGCTGGAATTTGGCAGAGGGGTGTAATCGAGCATGCTGATCACCCGCCGGGGCCTGAAGTGTATGTGTGCCAAGTGTGGTCCGGATCGGTTGAGAAATGGAATTTTCTATTCGGAACATACGGCGGAGCCGGGTAAGCCAGCTAGTACCTTATAATCCAACTCGAATTTCGCGGAACCACATAGTTGAAGGCTTTCTTTACCTGATTTTAGATAGGAACAATGGCACACGAACTCGCTCACGCTCTCGGTTTGTATCACGTTCAGTCAAGATATGACCGTGACAGATACGTCGTCTTGAACGTGAAAAACATACCAGTTAGATAGCTACATTCACTACTTAAGCCCAACCATGAATGAGCAAATTCCAGCCTAGCCTGTTGAGAAGCGATTTCAACAAAGAGACTACGATGACAAGTGATCACTATAATGTACCCTACGACTATGGTAGCGTGATGCATTACTCAGCGAACGCGTAAGTCACAAATTCTCAATTTCTTTCTTAATTTTGAAACTGGAGTTGCTTACCAGATTTGCCATTGTGAACTCGCAACCTACGATCATCCCACTTGATAAGGATTATACCGACACTATGGGTTCTCCCTTTGTATCATTTTATGACATACTTCTAATGAACAAGCACTATGGTTGCCTTGGTGAGTATGAAAAGCAACGAAAACTCTGTAATTCAATTGCTCTAGCAAGTAATGCGTAACTATAAGTAAGCTCTATAATTAGTCTTGTTTTTTTTTTTGAAAAGGAGAAGGTTATTGTTAGTGTACAGACATTATGCTCACAATCAGTCGTGTCGCAACTCCCGAAAAATGTACTTGTTATCATCGCGATCGAGCAATCTTCACATTTTTTGGGATTTTTAAAATTTCTAGGCCTACACAAAAGCGAGCTGAGCATCCTGCTCCAGTTAATTTTTTTTTTGATCTCGACTGATCTAGATAAGTGCAAATCGTCCTTTTCTGCAAAATGCAAAGCGGGTGGAATACCAAATCCACGAGATTGTACAAAATGTATTTGTCCAGGCGGATACGGAGGTCGACTTTGTGACCAGAGGGTAAGAAAGGCATCATAATTTGTTGTTAAGTCTATACAACCGTATAGCCACCCGGATGTGGTGACACTTTGACAGCTACGACAAATTCGGAAGCTCTAGAGGTCACTCTTGGAAGCAAAGGCAATACACCTTTGCCTGATCACGAGAAGTGTCATTTTTGGATCAAGGTCTGTTTGATTACATTGAATTCAAAATGATCTTATTCTAAATCATTAGGCTGCAAGAGGAAGAAAAATCAGCATTAAAATCGAAGACATCTACTCGCAGTGGGTTGGTGAGGGTTGCACGGCGGGAGGTGTGGAAATCAAAGCACAGAAAGATCAGTGTTTAACGGGCTACAGGTAAAGCTGCACTTACCGTAAAGTGCAACTTATTGAAAAATTGCTTATAGGTTCTGCAAATTTGCATACGTGGGAAAAACCTTCGTGTCAGATAGTGACGTAGCTCCCGTTATAATCTATCGTGATCGTGGAATGGTGCAAGCTAAGCTAATCTATCGAATGAGTATGTTTTGGGTAGTTCATACCGTTTCACAATAAGGTGGTTTCAGTTTGAGGAACCCACGTAGAAGACGTTCATCAACATCTCAATCTTGAGTGTATATCATGTGCTACCGCTTAAAATAAAAATTCAAGCATGAGTCTTCCAACAACTTGATATAAGAAATATAGAGTATCTATTACGATGTGTAACCCTACAAAACGTAAACAAGTCTTCTATGTAACTCTCTAGGTTAGGCTTCATCATTCTTCATTTTCCCTTAGCTATTCTTCACGCATGCTGATGAGGATTAGGAAAAGGAACAGAGGGATCTAACCACCGGCTTGCTTGCGACCCGCTTGATTGTTTTTGATGTTAGGAATTGCTAGGATTAATCCTAGCAGAACAGGCAAATAAATGAATTGGAGATCAAAAAATTCATGCTAAATCGCTCATGCTCAACATGATTGGCGTACGATACATCCCCTTGCATACTTTCGTACAGGAACTCATTAAGAGAGCTGGACCTTGGACAAATAGCATCAAAAAGATGCAAGTTGTCCACTAGATGACTCGGAAGTGACTCTGTCGAAAGTGAATGTTTTGAGAATTCAAAACCAGCTTCCACGTAAAAGTTTCACTTTTCAGATTTAAGGGGGCGCCTTTGAGCGGTCTGAATCGTTTCCAACTTTGTCATTGTAGTTAGTATGTTGAGTTGCGTCTGAAATTCTCAACGCGAGCCTTTTCATTGTTGATGCGCAACATATATTTCGCTCTTTGTTATGTGGACCTTTACTCCGCCTTACATTTCATAACCGAGTTTTACTCTTTGGAACAAGGGCCCACAGTAATTCCCGCAAAGTCGTCACGACTCAAAGAATGTGCAGTCGTGATTGTATTGGAAACCTTAGACGTTCGCTGTTGACTCGCGCCGGAGATCCGCCCTTTTTGTGGGAATTCGCGGAAGAGAAGCGCGAAGTGCGCGAGAAGAGCAAAGAAACAGAAGAGCGCGTAGAGTGCGTGAGTTTAAATACCCACCCGTCCGTGATTGCTCAACCAATCACCGCTCACCGCTACAACCCCGCGTGTTCTCCGAAACCGGAGTTGTAGAGATTTTCGCGGATTCTCGATCTCATACTCGAAATGAGGGACATGAGAAGCTCCGAAACGACAAAAATATGGAAGTCGAGAATCTGGTCCGGGCAAAAACTTGATTTTGAGATTTTGTGCTTACCCGGGCCTAATTGCTACGCTGAATCCGAAAATCCACATTGGAGAGCGCAAAAACGGCGAAAAACGGCTCCGATACAGGAGAAAAATCAGGGTGTAGGCGGGGTCCTCCCCACTGTAACTTACGCTCCCAGCTTCCGGAGCGATTTTCTCGCTTCCAGTTTCAAGTCATTTATTCGCACTTGCTCGGTAGCGATGTTAGGACGGCTAGCGGAATCGAGAATACCGCTCCGGAAACTGGGAGCGTGAATTCGCAGTGGGGAGGACCCCGCCCTTGCTGTTTCCCTCCTGCGCTAGAGCCCTTTTTTGCCGTTTTCGCGCTTTCCAGTGTGGATTTTCGAATTCAACATCGCGAATAGGCCTGTATAAGCACAAAATATCAAAATCGGCATCTTGCCCGGACACGCCTTTAAAATTGCAGGTTCTACCATGACGATTACGATAAGTTGAAGTTCTTTCGGTATCAGAAGTTAGGAATAGTGCTTGAGCGAAAGGGATAGCTGCATATTATACTACATCTTATATATAAAGTTGAATGTCTGTTTGTATGTCTGTATGTCTGTATGTATGTCTGTATGTACGTATGTTCCGAATAGAAAATTCCATTTCTGAACCGATCGGGACCAAACTTAGCACACATACACTTCGGGCCCCGGCGGGTGTCATAGGCTACTTTTCGTCATCGATCGATATCGATTTTATCGATTTTTTGCAAATTTGCACCCCCCCCGTGGGGGTGATCAGCATGCTCGATTACCCCCCCCTGTGCCAACTCCCAGCCCCGTAGCTCAAATTTTGCAAAAAATCGATAAAATCGATATCGATCGGTAACGAAAAGTGGACTGTGACACCCGCCGGGGCCCGAAGTGTATGTGTGCCATGTTTGGTCCGGATCGGTTGAGAAATGGAATTTTCTATTCGGAACATACGGCGGAGCTGGGTAAGCCAGCTAGTACTACATAGTTCGAACCAGGCCGACTAACACGCCTATGCATACCACACATTAGTAGCTAGTGGACATATAGGATTGTTCCAAAAGTTCTGCTAACGTCAAAGGTCAACGCGTAACGCTTTAGATCTGAATGTTGCGTGCAGAATAATTTGTGTTTTAATCTGCAGATCCTTTCAAAATTATATGCGACAATAAATTCTTGCAGAAGCCTCAGTTTTTCTTAGTCTCAAAGTCGAAAACGTCTTTAGCGATCCCTGCTTTTCGGAGACCTTATAATCTGAAATGTAATATGACAGTACAAACTTTGCTGGTCTAGCAATGTGGTCGGTTAAAAAGTAAACTAAACTCGAGTTTTCACTAGGCTTTTCACGAGAAAACAAATCTGAAAGAACCCACCAAATTGTCTCTCCCAAGACTGCAAGAATATGTTTTTTATCTTTTTATTCTTCTTTTCGCCGTTAAGCAAATATTGTTTTTTTTTTTGATAGGTGTGCCAGACCTAGCCTTTCTGTATCGAGCAAAACATTGCATTGCGCTTACGATCTTACAATTCTATAAGGACTATAATGACAGGTCAAGTTCAGGCTGAATGTCTAAGTTCGTTTTTGAAAATCTTATCTCAATTATCATATTTCGATAAGCGGGGCGAAGCTACACACTGAGAAGCTTTTTAAAGAAGAGATGGCAGATGAAAAACTACAATAAAGGTCTTCAGATAAAACATGCAAAGTTCATGGAAATATTTTCTCAAACTGATATTCCAGAGAAGACGTAAGATGCATACTGGTAGATGCATCTTTCAATGTTGCCTCAGTTGAGTACCATAAAACAGGCTTTTCGCATGCGAATCGAGCACTCTATCCCTAAGAAAATAGGCTTCAATTCAGTAATTTCGAATTCGTCTCAAGAAATGCTACTAATGAAATTTTACCTGCAATAGCCACGATTGCCAAGTCATCTTTACCTGTATATGAGAGCTCTATGAAATAATCAGAACGAAAGTGTAGGTTCCACGAGTTATCTCTACTTGTTAGCTCGCGATTTTAACTTGTACGTCACCAACTGGTCGTTAGCTTCATGCCTCTTTTGAGATGTCATGCAATATGTAAGCTTAGCACGCTAATCCTGTAGTTCAGTAGCCGGACGAATGACAGGCAAATCTCCGCGTGTATTAATAGGACCAACAAGGTAGTTGCGCTTCGTTTTTGGGAGCAAAATGCAGTGGGGATGTTGTAAAACATGCTGAAGGTAAGATTGGTGAGATACTACTTGGCATCGGAAACTGGTCTGATTTACAGTGTGCACGGAATTTTCGCGAAGAGTTCCCGCTCCGCAACTCTCACCAGTCCAAGAGCCTGTTAGCTTCATGGTACCATGTCTTATGGCACCGATTCGCGTATCTGCCGCGCCCGAGTTTCAATGTAAGACCTGCTTCACCATCAAGTTATTACATAACTGACATGCTCAATTTGTTCTCTTGCAAGCGCCCAAATCTTGAAAGCGATGGTAAAATTAACGTATAGCTTCTTTGAACGCACAATCGATAGCATGACATAACAGTTAGGTTACAGGTTCTATCTTGTGAACAGCATTAAGTAAGGAACAGGAAGTTATACGAAGTAATGCCCTCTTCCATTTGTTAAATACCTGCTCAAATAGAATGCTTCCCATGAATCCTAAAAGGCAACTTGTGCAGGGCCCTAATATAATACGTCGTTTCATAAGTTCGTAGTGTTTTCATTTTCGTCCTCAGTTCTTTGGGGAGCGGTTGATATGTCGCAAAATGTGTATATCATCAGAAAGGCTGGTTATGCTCTCCAATATGTGCCTACTAATTCGCTGGAAAGCTGACTACTCGAATCTCTTGGCTTCCAAGTATGGAAAACTTAGGAAACAAACAGGAGCAAATTCGGCATCTGCGCATTTTTTCTCATAGAAAGAAGAGTTTTTCACCAATTTCGGTCGATTATGGGACATGGCCTTCGCCATTCAATATGAGAGGAAAATGTTTGGATTATTACAAAAGACGAAGGGCTGAGCAGGGTGTTCCTGAACATGACTTTTTGGGGGATGGGCAGGACTCCTGCACTAAAAGTCGCTGTACAAAAAGAAAACGGTCGACCATACCTATGCAAGTCAACTGCAACGTTTTAACGAGGTCATACCGCAGAAAAAGCCAAAAAGACAGATCCAGGAGTTCTGCATGACGGAACATGACCTCATACCGCAAACGTCGTCAAAACTGTCCTGCAAGAATTGACTAGGAGGTACCCCAGTACCCGAAGTAATCCTTAAACCTCACTCTATCAGATTATCATTTGTTCCGCTCTCTCGCAAATTTCATGAATGGTGTATGTCTCGAGTTCAGCGAGTAGTCTAAGCGCTGGTTAGATGACTTTCTTGAGACCCTGCGCGCTACCGTTTGGGAAATTGAGAATGAAAAGCAGATAGGAATGTGGCAAAAGGTCGTGCGCTACGTCGCAGAATATATTCTAGACTGATTTTCAGTAAAAATTGATGATTTTTTGGTTTATAAAAACGCTACGAACTTATGGAACGACCTAATATAAGCGCAATCGCACTTTGTCAAAGTGTTATATATGTGTTACGAGGAGGAGCGCAGATCTGAGCGCGACAGTCGTCTAGCCATTAGATGGCCCGTCTTCGTTGATATGCGGGTTCAGTACAGAAGTTTCCCTTTGTCCCTGTTCCCCGCTTCGGACATCCATCACCTTTTGGCATGTCATCGGTGGCTGCGTTTACTAGTTTCAGGTGCAAAAAAGTATCCAGCTGATTTCTCAGCTGGTCTATCCGTTCCACGAACACGTCTGAACCATCTCGTTAGAGATCTTCCTCGAGAAGGGTCTACTCCGCGAGGAATCCATTCTGAATTTTACTGTCCATCTGTAGTCAGTTCTTCTCACGATGTGACCGGCCCATCCATGCGTCGCTTTCGCAACGCATTCCGCTGTGTCATGAATACTTGCTTTATTAGTTACCAGTCCGAAGCGCCGCTTCGCGGCGCTCCGGACTGGCTGTGTGTGTGAAGTGGGATATGACTCTCAAAGTTAGAGCGTGGAAACCTTTTCTCCTCCGTAAGTATGGCGATTTCTCAGACGCTCAACAAACTCGGAGATCATCAAAGTTAAATGTCAGGATCTCCTGCTTTAAATAGTTTCCCAAGTTACATCATTAACCAAAGTGATAAATTAATCGCTTCCTCTCAGCTTTCTTTGCAACTCGCGCTTTATTGTCATTCCTGAGTTCTGAGCCAAACTGGCCTCCCCCCCCCCTCCTTTTCATCCAAATGTTTCCTTTATAAAATGCCCAAACTACCGATATTTTCTCGCATTTTCAAATCCTTTTGATCTTACTTAATCGCTTTCGAATCTAGCTCCAAAGATGCTGTTGAGAAAATGCGCCACCTTACACCTTTAAAGTCTGTGCACCGAAGCAGGCCGAAATTGATGTGATGAGCTGCGCAACGCAAAGATTCTACATCATGTCTGCGGCGTCAGGACTTGTCCGTTCCCACCTTTTCTTTGAACCCTCCTGCAATGCGAAATGCAGCGCAAGCCCTAAGCGTTGGTGTGCGGTTTTGAGCCAAAGTTTCAGCGTTATCACCATAAACTGTAGCTGCCAAAGTTGCTCATTCCCATATTTGCGAAAATCCTCGGATACTCTCAAATTTTCACATCCGAAAGTTTCCTGACCAAAGTGGCCGTCACAAACCCGGCAAGCTTTTCCCAGCTATGTACATTTTCATGGCTGTTTTCACCCGGGGCTCTGCTCTCCTCATCGACTGTCCCTACGAACTGCCTTAGAAGGCCCATATGAAAAGTTGGGGTAAAGTAAGCGACGTCCCTTTTCATGAAAGGGCCGCGGGCGAACACTGCTATGGCTTTTCATCATTGGGGACACCGCTTCTTTTTTTGCCACCGGGAGGATTTTCATGCATATGGGCCTCAAAGTAACTATTCTAAATTCTTTGCAAGATTTCAGCAAGAGGATTCAACTCAACGCACTTGAATGCATTTAGCCAAAATGCTAACTTACTATTATAAAATTTCCTAAATAAAAAAACCTCCCTTCCTCTTCACGAAATATGCTTAATAAATTCTAATGGCAGAGCTCGCGTTCGCGTCTTATATGGGCTTTCCAAATTGTTCAACAATTTGGAAAGCCTTCCATATACGACGCCCATATAGGACTATAAATTCCACCCGAAATGCTCTAAAGCGCACCCATTTTCCAACTCATCTTGGTAAGCTATTGACTCGAATTCCGTAGAGAGCTAGTATTGAAGCGTATATCCAATTTAAGCTGTTCATTCAAGCAAATCACAGCTGTCGTCTATACGATTTTGAGGTAGTGCAATGTTCTGACAAAATTGCACTAAAAAGCTACATGTTCCTGAGGTTAGCAAGGGTTGAGTTGATGATTAGTGAAGCGTCCCTTCCTTCCCATCTCTTTTGTTCACACTTGGTATACTGATAGCAAACAGACAGCGTGTAGCTCTTTTCAAAATCCTCTCACGATCACAGTAACTTTTACAGTTTTTTTTCCAATTTTCAGTCTTTGGGTTAATTTAAAATCCTGAGATAGTGTTCTCTTAGAACCTCCGTTGCTTGCAAAGTGAGCTTTTTGCATAACGTTTAGTGTTTCAAGGCAATTCGCACCACCATGTTTTTTTACCACTTAGGGCCGCATGCACTAACATCCCCGCGGGGAGGGGAACGCAGCTTAAAAGAAAGCTTTATATTTCGAAACTCCAGATACCTGGATTTCACGTTGTGTACCTATCCGTAAGTATTCCTACTACCCTTCACTATGAACATGTTGAAGAGGAGCGGGAAGCTGTACTATCCGCATTTTCCAGCTTTTGTATGATCCCTGATGATCCCCGGCGCTTTTCTTTGAAGTCATTTTTCTTTCTCCGAAGTTAACGAATAACCTCCAAAGTTGTACAGATTATCTAACCCGACAGTGCTAAGCATGTTGCTGATAAGAACAAATGATGTTTTGAAGTCATGAAATTTTCGATGATCTACAGGTCGAAATTTGAGGTTTACCGAAAAATTCGACTTTTCAAAAACTCATTTGTTCTCATGAGCAACATGCTTAGCACTGTTGTGCTAGATGTTCAGTAGAACTTTAGGAGGTTTTCGTTAACTTCGGAGAAAGGAAAATGACTCTAAAGAAAAGCCCCGGGATCATCAGGGATCATACAAAAGCTGGAAAATGCGGTTTGCACAGCTTCTCGCTCCTATTCAACATGTTCATAGTGAAGGGTAGTAGGAATACTTACGGATAGGTACACAACGTGAAATCCAGGTATCTGGAGCTTCAAAATATAAAGTTTTTTTTAAGCTGCGATCCCCTCCTCAGCGGGGAGGTGAGTGCATGCGGCCCTTAATGGATAACAATTTGGAAAGTACGCACAGTATTGATGTTTAACTATTTTCTCAAAAAGGTTCGATTTTCACAGTGAGTTTAAGGAATTTTTCATGTGAAGATACGTTCAGCATGCTTCATTCGCTTCTTTGGCTTCATTCTTGTGGAATGGTTTTTTCGGAGTAAAATTTGAAAATTTTTAATGAGATACGTTTGGTAATGAAGACAAAAATGTAATGGTGCACAATAGGAAAATGGACAATGAGTGATATGATTTTGCTTGATTTTTAAGGAAAGGTTCAATTTTGAGGCTTGTTTTTGCATGTAACGATACGTTTAGTGGTAAAAACAGTGATGATGTGGTGCACTGATTAAGAAAGAATTGAGAAGATGTAGTGCAGATATCAATGTTAAGTATTATCACCGACCTGAAGATGCTATCCGACGTTTGCTTATTTTCACAAATGAATAAAGCAAAATGTAAAGCGGTTGAAATAAATCGACCGCTAACAGCGTTGTAGGCGACGGAATTGGGGTTGCATTTAGCTTGACGTCGTGATAAACATCACCGAAGCAGACGGAACACCGAAGATGGCAGAAAACATCACACCATTGATGACGTCATAGGTTGCACTTAGGTTGAGTCGTAACGGTAAACAGTGTGGAAGCGGGTAAAAGTGCAAGAATTAACTCAGAGATCTGCGCAAACATCCTTCGCCGGTTGTTGACGTCGGATGGTCCCCCCTGCGCTTTATTATAGGGTATGATCGAGGCTTATGCGTCTTGAGCATTCCAGGGACTTCGTTCCCAAGAATCCTAGAAGACAACTCGCGCAGGGCTCTGATATATAAGTACGATCGCACTATGTCAAAGTGTAGTGTTCTACATGTGTTACGTGAAGGACCGCAGACCTGAGGGCGACAGACATCTAGCTTATCTTGCGAACGTGTGGACACCTTGATTTACAGAAGGCAGACTTTGAATGAGACTTGAGACGTTGGTGTGCAAATTGATCTAAGTAAGCACATCGAGGAACAGAAGAAGTGCTACTGGAGATTCTGAGGTTCTGACAAGGAGAGGATACTTAGTCGAAAGCACCAATCCAGATGAGACATATATCATCTCAGAGCGCTTGAAACGCTGATTCCAAATCTGCACTTTCTAGCTGCGGAGCGGTTTTGTAGAAGGAGTTATGAAGGGTGTTCCCCTCTGGGGTTTGAGCGCCCTCTAGCTGTCTCCCCTTATCTGTAAGCACTGTAGAGGAATATCAGCTGATGGCAACTGACCTAATGGTAAGTAACTTGAATGAAGATTACAGTAAAGATTATAGTACTCATACTACTTTGGTTTTTTTTAAACACTTCCAACTTCGATTAGTATCATTATCATCAGAAGTTTCATGCTTTAGGGCTCTAAAGCCATTTGAAAGTTCAATTTATATGCAAAGGGGATTAAAACCTTGACATTCTCTTTATCAAGCACTCACTTACCACTACGTCAGTTGCCACCATTCGGTACTCCTCTATAGTGCTCATAGGTAGAGGGAGACCTGATGGAGGGCGCCTCAACCCCAGAGGAAACACCTCTCACAACTCCCTCTACAAAACCGCTCCGCAGCTAGAAAGTGCAGATTTGGAATCAGCGTTTCAAGCGCTCTAAGATGATACATGTCTCATCTGGATTGGTGCTTTCGACTAAGTATCCTCTCCTTGTGAGATCGAGCAGGTTGCTGCCCGCGACTGCTGTGGAATCCATTGATATTCGAAACCTCAGAATTCCCTGAAACTTTGCGCGGCGGGACCATTTGACTGTTTAAAGTCAAACAACATATTTAGTTATTCATACAATGCCTCTTGGAGAGGTTGAGATGAAACATATATGTGTTGGCCTTACAAAAGACGTGTACCATGTTGAATGGATCTCAAGATTAACTAGGGAGAACATTGGCAGCATGAGGCTCGAATCTCGAGCATAGAATACGCAGACCGAAAAATGAATGTACCACATATACAGGCGTACTTCTCGAACTTCTGCACAGTGGCCTAGAAATGAACTTCTTCAGCGAGTGAAATTATGAGTAATAATGCCTATCTCTCATTGTGAATTCATATTCCATTGTTCCATATGTTCACATCATAAAATAAAATTGAATTTCGCGATTGATTAGGAACTTTTTTCACACTTCCCCACTTCTTTTGAGGAGTAAGGAAAGATATTCAGTAATCAGTTACCAGATCTCTTTTGTTAATCATGGAAGGAAATGATTATGACGCTTGTGAAATTCTTAGCAATTTGCGGTTTGTATATTCTCAGTCAAGATATAACCTGCGATTGGAAATTGTGTTGGTATCAAAAGATATGCTAAGACTTTATTCCCATTACTAGCAATGGATACGCATCGACGTATGAGGTGATGAAGGCTTCTGCTTTTGTTTTTTAGACTAAAATCATCATATTTCGGTTCGAAAAATGACTATCACTTCAGTAGAACATACTCATGCGGTATTCCCACTGAGCTATAACCATTCCGCGGTCACGGTAAAGGATGACAGGAACAAGATCGACTTCTGATTCAAAAACTTTGCCTGCGCTCGACTGTTTGCAGTATCTGAAATTTGAGTGAAGAAAACTTTTTCTTTCGAGCACACGTTGATGAAATGTTACCTATATCCCGTTAAACGTTGATCTTTTTGTGGTTTGATTTCTAATCCTCCTGTGAAGCATCCAGGGCCGATCCACTGAGAAAAGACATCCTTGATTCTAATATACACTCTTCTACCCTTTCTTTGAGCCTATAATTTTTTGTTTCAATTGTTTATAAAGTTTGAAGTAATTACCAAAACGAGCCTTTATCCAAAAATGACACATTTCATATTCATTTACAGTATTCCCACTTTGTCCAAGCGTGTAACTGAAGGTCTGGAGTTTATCAGTAGCTTCCAAAGTTTTGCCACATCCATAAGGCTGGAAGTCAAGTACTATATATAGAGAAACGATCATTTTGTATCACTGACCCTCTGATCGCATAAAGGCCCTCCATATCCGCCAGGACAGATACATTGCGAACAATCTCGTGGGTTTGGAAAGCCCCTCTTGCACTGTGCTGCAGACTTGAGTTTCTTGCATCTACCTATAAAAAGTAAGTTAGCAAAAAGTTCATATATGTCAGTAACCAGGAAAGTGTTAGCTTAAATGGATTCACAGCTGTGTACACTTGGAACATTCCATGCATTACTGTTGGTAGATTTTGGTTAATCAGTGACCGTGCTTATGGGGGCGGGGGAGGGGGTTACATAAAAATGGCAGTGGGACTAGTTAGTCATTAACTTTTCTCCCTTCATTTCAGTCCTTATTGTCATAATGCACTCAAAAGCAGGGTTTCCTTTGGCGATATTAACTGCAAAAACCCTGAGGATGATTTGAGGGCCACGTTGTCACGTTTTCATATTTTAGTGATTATAAAGTACAGTTTTTGTGACTATTAAGGTGCCCAATAATTTTTCACCGGTTTTCACCGCAAACATCAGCATTTCTTGAGACTGGGGCACCTACAAAGGGTACATATATATGACCGTACTTCTGTACGCACGAGATATGATCACTGCGTGGGAGGAGCTCAAGAAGTCTAGGGGCGTGTTTGCCATTTTACTTCATTCATTTTTATTTGAATTTTTAGCCATGGAAAAAATGTGGAAAGTGTACAATTGAATTTTCGATGTGTCAAGCATAAGCTAGGATAAATGGGAAATGTTTAGGATTTTTTGGGGCAGAGATATGATTTTTGACGGGAAGGTTCGTTTTTGACTGCTAACAGATTTCAGCTCAAAACTTTATGTGGAATACGATTTGGGCGGATTCTTAATAGCCCTCTTGTAGAGGCTTTGCCCTGCTGAAGAATTACTCAATCCTCTTCAATTGAAGGAAAGTTTTAAAAATATGACGATTGTAGTAAAAAACGGTAAAAAAATTATGGGACACCCTAATAGATACATATTTTCTATGTTTTCTTGTCCTTTCAAGGGTTGAATTTAGAAATTTTGCGGACAACATCAGAGATTGTAGACAACAGTACGGAGAAACTAAAAATCTTAACAAATGTTGGAGAAGTAAGCACTGTAGTTTTGGCGAGAGAGTTCTATGCCTTAACAGATCTCCATAGATATAGAGCGCTATGACGTCACCGATTAACTCACCAAGACAGCGATAGAATCTGTTCATCTGAAGTAGGTCGATAAACGAGACAAATGGTGAACCCATAGTGTCGAAATGCTCCCTGTCCATTGGAACAATGGTAGGTATTGTGTCGTCAATAGCGAAGCTAAAAACTTGGTACTCAATTTTCGCAAAAATCTAGCTTTGGCTTACGCAGTCGCTGAGTAATGCATTCTGCTGCCGTAGTCGTACGGTACATTGTAGTTATTAGTTGTCTCCATGGATTCTTGCTTGAAATCGGTTTTCAACTCGTCTTCCTGAATTCTTATAGGTACTATATGCACAACAGCATCTTGCCGGAATACTTGAACTTACAGGGACGTTCTCCACGTTTATCATGACGTAGTGCTCACGATCATACCTCGATTGAACGTGGAATACCCCAAGGGCATGAGCAAGTTCGTGCACGGCTGTCCCCACCTATACAAACGATACGGCGGAAAAAATCACTATAATTATGACTTGAATATTACAGTATGACATCTGGAGCCCAGAGAAAGCTCTTGTACTTGGTGAATATTACCAACATAAGAGTAACACCCATTGCCTTCGAATATTTCGACGCGTTCAGGTGCTGGAACAACAGCATTTTCTTTCAGTACTCATAGCCACTGCCAATATCGTCGATTCATGACACGCAAAGACTGGGCGCCGTTGCGTCCGATCGAGATAGTTTGTGCATGGGAGACAGCAGATGGCAAGAGAAGCGAAAGAGCGCTCGATTAGGGAGAAGCCGATACGTGCGCAGTCTTTGCGTGCTATGAATCGTCTATACCTGTAGAGTTCTCGATCATATCGATGCAAGTATTATCATGCCATACTTTCGCCGCTTGTCGAGCAACCATTTTTAGTCTGTAACTCCCTAAAAAATCAAACAATACACTTATACTGAAACTTTTTGCCTTAGCCATATTTGCTACTTAACTTGATAATCGCGGAAAGAGAAGTAGAGTCGCTTGTTTGGCCATTTTAAATAAGCGCTTGTGGTCGCCTGTCTCTTCCGCCTATCAGCATCACTCAGAATTAGCGCTTCAGCCTGCTGCCTGCAATGCGATTCGTACATCTCTAAGGCCTCGGACATAGTCCACACGATTTCAATCGCGACGCGATCTGGCACTTTCCAAATGTCTTCAAATCGTACACTGGCAGGCTACAACTGCATAGGGTGTGTAACTTCGCTAGATTGCAAGAATGACCTACCTTCTGTACATATAAAATAGGCTTACAACGAGTTCTGGACATTTGGAATATTGCCAAATCGCGTCGCGACTGAAATCGCGTAAACGCCCTAGCTCTAACGCAGCCGTAAGCAGTTCAAATTTACCCTGTCAACACTATATCTCCTTGATATAGAAGTTCAGACATTCTCTCTTGCTGATTGATGCCTTCAATTGTGCCGTATCGCTCAACTTGAGTATAATTTATGCGGCCCAGTGTCTAAGAATCACATTGGCACAAAACTAAGTAGGAACTCGGCAATCACTTACCCTCAATCTCTGTCTTAGGAGAACTTTCCGTTGCATATTTAGTTTGGGTGCTCTCAAATATCTGTTGAGTTTCGCCTTTATTTTATAAAGCTTATCAACATTGAGCCTCTAAAATAAGGACTATCTACAGCTAAGAATTTCCTACACTCGAACTCACCGATTTCACTTTAGCCAGCGTTTTTCTTAGCTGACTTCTCGCCTTGAAGTCGAGCAAGCCAGCACTGATGCTGACCAATAGCAAAAGAAGGAAGATAGTTCTCATCTCGAAAAGCTTGTACTCTTTTAAAGATACTACTAGAAGAAAAGATGCGGTGCTTTGAGCGTTCAACTCCCTACCTTTTATAACGATAATTATTGCAGAATTATTGACATTGCTAGAGCAGAAAGCGGTTTTTGCAGAGCTGTAGCATCTAGAGTACATCCTAAGTACTTACATGGATTAGCTAATGTTTTTTTTCAAACCGGAAGTTACAGTCACACAAATTTGCTTTGCATCATCTCACTAATGTCGTTTGAAGCTTAATTTAATTCTAGTGGAGAGCTTAGACTATTCGAGTAGAGTCCCATACTCAGGTTTACCACACTGAGTTAGATGTTGCTTTAGTTGAGAACAGCAAGAACAAAAATTCCCGATTGTTGAAAAACGGGCATGAGCCATGCTTGCTTTTCTTGAGTAAGGCATTTAGTCGGCATGATAACTGCTATTTACAGTCGAATCATCTTATATGATCATGTGTATCTTTGCACACACTGTCCATCTTTGGCGTTCCCATCCTGGATTCTTAAAGCAGATAACTCTTTAGGTAAGTTTTTTCAACGTGTTTTTGGTGTTTTCTTTCCCTATTACAGTTGCAGCGGTAGAATTTGTCCAAAACTGCGGGATTGTCGGGATTCGCGGGATTGTCGGGATTCGCGGGATTCGCGGGATTCGCGACTTCACGGGATTTGCGGGATTCGCGGGATTTGCGGGATAAGCGGGATTTAGCTATAACTTCTTTTAAAACAATTTTATATGAAATCTACAAGAAGATTCGGCTTCAGCTTGATGAGACAAATCTTTTGATATACAATATGTCCGTAATTCATGGTGACGGGGTAGACATAGAATGATACCTTGTTGTTTTCTATGTTAAGGCTTTTGTGAACATTTATCACAGCGTTAATCGCGAATAGCACGTTCTAGTACAAAGTTCTCATTATCGAAAACTATCGCGAAAAATTGGGCAGTTTTTATTTACCCTTATCACTGATATAAGCATTTTATCATTTGGCACTGATAACATCACATTTTTGGATCATTTTTGGCGTATGGTAAGAAAAGTACTGTGGGAAACACTGAGTGAATTTCTATCGCTCTTTCTCTAATTAAAAGTGATCTACAGGCTTTTCTAGTTCTATTGCTCGGTGCAATTGGTAGATCCCTCGCTGCAGCAATCGATCGATTTCTCATCGGCACATGCCACTGCTGTTCCTACCTAAAATGGCATTTTTGCTTCAACTCGCTTCACGCCGAAGCCTGGGCTGAAGTTCTGCACCTACATGGAAGATGGACGTGGGAATCGACCGCATGGATTTAAGCCATTCTTATCTGTCGTTGTCATTGATATCATCATTTTATCATTTACAACTGATGATATCACAAAATTGGATCTTTTCTGACATACAGTAAGAAATGTAGTTTAGAAAACGCTGTGCGAGTTTTTATCGCTCTATCTCTTATAGTATTTGATCTACAGGCTTTCTCAATTCAGTTGCGCATTCGGTGCTGTAGATATATCCCTCACTGCAGCAATCGATTGATTGCTATGAGCATGACACCGTCTCTTTGGAAAAGTTGCTCTTTCTTCAGAAAAGTCCACCGTTCTATAAATTGTGAATGAACCGAGTCGCCTGTCAACAAGAGTTTCAACGAAGCTGAACTTTTCTGTTTTCTGCGTATGGACATACAGATCCAGATCCACGAAGGCGATCGGTCTAAGGTGCGAAACGGCACAAACGGCGTACTCAAGCATCTTTTCACCAGAGTCCACATGCCCGTGAACGATGCGTGTACATGGGCTGTTGCCTCCGTACCGAAGTTATGAATTCTCCTATGCTCTACTCTATTTCTTGCTATCTACAATAGCTCACAAAATGTGCAGATTTTCTTTGTTGTCGTGATTCCGGAGGTTTTGCGAAAGTCCGCAGCGTTCTGGGAGTTTTGAACACTCCGGGGTTTCCGCGGAATCACGCGAATCGCGCAAACTACAGTACCCACGCTAATTATTCGACAAAAAACCAAAAGCTGACGATCCGCGTTTTTTCGTTTTTTGTTCATAACTTTCTTCAGATTGCATAAATTAGGAATCCGACGAAAGCATGATGTTCAGCTCGTTAAAATAAACCTTCTGATATACTACACTCCCTTACTAGTCCGTTTTCAATTTGCTCGATTTTTGTGTGAGGGCGGGTGTTCGTAGTGGTGTAACTCAGCGAAGAACATACAAGGAAGATTCTAGTAAACATGGTCCAGTAGAGCTGTTTCCGTAGATTATCATTCGCTAGCGATTAGTGGAGGATCCCTTTTCTACAGAGAAAGATAGATCGATGAATTTTGAAAAAATCTATGTCTTTCAAATGTTAGCTACCGTAACCATACAGTAAGGCGCTATTTTGCAAAGCAGGTGTATTTTTCGTGATCAGCAGGCCAAACAACCTCTATGCGCAAGTTTTCCGACAAATTCGGGCCCTTTGATTATTTCTCGTTCTGGGCTCTGAAGTTCGTCGACGGGTTATGGCCAAAATATTGATGATCATGGACTGGCCGGAAACTTCGCCCACAGGGGTTTTCGAACTCGCTGATTACGAAAACAGTGCTCTTTGTGCAGTAAGTTTTTGTTTAGCAGAGTCATACCGAGTGAGCTGTCTCGAAACCAGGCAAGATCCTACTTTTGCCTGCTCTTTTCGCGTACTTGTTGAGCAACTCACCCAGTTGTATTTTAGCTAAACATTAACAGAAGGCGAGCTATTGATCCATGGTTATTGTAGGCCTCCATCTGTAAGAACTGCCCAGTTACGAGCTCACGAAATCACGTTCTCAAGAATATTTTCTGAAATTCAAATATTGTATACGTCGATTATCTGCCTTTTACAGTAGAAGTTTTTGAGCAGAGTAAACATCATTTGCAAAGAGCGTGTTATACATCCAACCAGGACCATATTTGGACAAAGTGGGCGATCTTCAAATTTTGTGCATAATTCATGAGAACATGATTTCGTGAGCTCGTAACTGGGCAGTTCTTACAGATGGAGGCCTACAATAACCATGGATCAATAGCTCGCCTTCTGTTAATGTTTAGCTAAAATACAACTGGGTGAGTTGCTCAACAAGTACGCGAAAAGAGCAGGCAAAAGTAGGATCTTGCCTGGTTTCGAGACAGCTCACTCGGTATGACTCTGCTAAACAAAAACTTACTGCACAAAGAGCACTGTTTTCGTAATCAGCGAGTTCGAAAACCCCTGTGGGCGAAGTTTCCGGCCAGTCCATGATCATCAATATTTTGGCCATAACCCGTCGACGAACTTCAGAGCCCAGAACGAGAAATAATCAAAGGGCCCGAATTTGTCGGAAAACTTGCGCATAGAGGTTGTTTGGCCTGCTGATCACGAAAAATACACCTGCTTTGCAAAATAGCGCCTTACTGTATGGTTACGGTAGCTAACATTTGAAAGACATAGATTTTTTCAAAATTCATCGATCTATCTTTCTCTGTAGAAAAGGGATCCTCCACTAATCGCTAGCGAATGATAATCTACGGAAACAGCTCTACTGGACCATGTTTACTAGAATCTTCCTTGTATGTTCTTCGCTGAGTTACACCACTACGAACACCCGCCCTCACACAAAAATCGAGCAAATTGAAAACGGACTAGTAAGGGAGTGTAGTATATCAGAAGGTTTATTTTAACGAGCTGAACATCATGCTTTCGTCGGATTCCTAATTTATGCAATCTGAAGAAAGTTATGAACAAAAAACGAAAAAACGCGGATCGTCAGCTTTTGGTTTTTTGTCGAATAATTAGCGTGGGTACTGTAGTTTGCGCGATTCGCGTGATTCCGCGGAAACCCCGGAGTGTTCAAAACTCCCAGAACGCTGCGGACTTTCGCAAAACCTCCGGAATCACGACAACAAAGAAAATCTGCACATTTTGTGAGCTATTGTAGATAGCAAGAAATAGAGTAGAGCATAGGAGAATTCATAACTTCGGTACGGAGGCAACAGCCCATGTACACGCATCGTTCACGGGCATGTGGACTCTGGTGAAAAGATGCTTGAGTACGCCGTTTGTGCCGTTTCGCACCTTAGACCGATCGCCTT